CTTATATACGGTACTAAAGGTCCTAACACCTATATTCAATCATCAATAACCATGCATAGGTCCAACCTTTAATAACACTGAATAAGCAAGACACAAACTGTTAGCTCACCAATGCCATTGCGTTCATAGCAGTACCCAAATAGCTGATTATGTCAAGAGGTTCCACATTTTTTTAGGTCCACATTTTTCAACATTATTTATCAACCCCATTTAATAGAGCAACAATCTTCAGTATCTGACACAATCCTATCCTGTATTTGGAGGCAGCTGTCTGTAACACATTTATTTTACCCTTGTCTGCATGCTTGCTGCATATAATAATCCTTACAAATGTCTATTTCCTTGCAGCATATATTATGCAGCTGCAATATTTCCCAAATAGACGCTAAGACGAAAGAACGGTCAATTCCAGCACCAAAAAATGAAGATCTGTCTTTATTGCGTAATGTCTTTGTCTCTTTTTTTAACTTTCTTCCGCACGGACCTGTGATAAGACATCTACTTTTGCCGTGGACAGAAAGGTGTTGCCTTAGCTACAATGACAGGATAAATCAATACTCTCTGGTGTGAGCTGAGCATTGACCCAGGCCATATTTAACAAAGGCTTAGGGCTGCTCGTTTATGGCAAAAATCATAATCTCGATTATTTGGGTCAATAATTGTAATTGCGATTATTCATTGACTTTGAAAACATCAATTTATTGGAACAGTATGTTTTTAACAGTTGATTATCCTGAACTTTAAGTATAATTCAACTGAAAAACCAAAAAAAAAAATTGTATTAAAAAAAAAAAAAAAAAAATCGTTTTATTTCGATCACGTTGTTTTCGTAATCGTTGCAAGCCATAATCTTAATCGCGATTAAAATACGATTAATTGAGCAGCCCTACAAAGGCCTACCGGTGATCGCTTTTGTTTGAAACCCCCAAGGTTCCATTCATGAATTCATTTTTAGCATGCCTAGCAAGAGGCACCAATCAAACTTATAGTTGTTGCAAAGGTAGTGTCATGATGTCTTAATTCAGCTGTAAATGTTTGCATTCTTCAGTTCTGTTTTGGACCTAATGTAATGCATGTATCTGTTTGTTTTGCAGGTGCCCACATTCTGCTGCAGAGGAGAGAGCACCAGGATGAGGAGACTGTAGGCACCCGCCGTAGTATGGCCGCGTCCCGTTCCTCGCGTGTCACAAGGTCTTCAGTGGGGCTCAATGGATTGGATGAGAACTTTTGTGGTCGAACCCTCAGGAACCGCAGCATCGCCCAGCCGGAGGACACCTCGGTTTCTCCGGTGCCAAGGGCCCGCTCGCCCAAGAAGAAGCAGGACGGCAAGCAGGAGTCGAAACAGGACACCAAACAAGACGTTAAGCAGGACGTTAAACAGGACTCGCAGCAGGACACCAAGCACGAGGCAAAGCAGGACGCTCAGCAGGACGCTCAGCAGGATGGCCTGTTGGAGGAAAAGTTGACTGACTCGAATGCTTCTCCGGCTGAGGCGGAGCATTGGAACAGCTCCAGGAAACGGAGCGCATCCTGTTTAGAAAAAGACATTAGTCCTGAGAAGTCGGAGAACTGTGACAGAGGGAAGGGCTCGCGGGACGCCTGTTCTCAAATCAAAAGGGCCAAGCGGTGCTCCCGCTCCGCAGAGTCTCAGGGACACGACGAGGACCCCGAGCCTCTCAAATCTGACAGTCCAGTGTCTGTCCCGGAGCCTAGCAAGGAAAACAGTTGTGAGGATTTCCCCAGCCAAAACTCTTCTCCGGCCTCACCTGTCCACATTAAAGAGGAAGATGAGCCGCCGGAGGGGAAGGCAGAGGATGGACACGAGGAGTGTGACAGGGCAACTCGGCCCCCCAATGCTCACAAGGCCTCCAATGGACTCAAGGAGAATAAAGCAGAGGAACCCAACGCACTCACTGAAGAGCCGAGTGCGACCCCCCCCTCTGTCTCCAACACCCCGTTGCTGCTTAACGGCAGTCAGACGGCAGCTCCCTCACCCCCCCACCCCGCTGTGCCTTGTAGAAACTCTGTCCCTCTGCAGGTGGAGGTCTCTGGCTCAGGGGAGTCGCCAGCCTCACCTGCACCAACGTTTGTTCCAATGGACCCTGTCCCCGAGTTGATAGTGGCTAAGGTGGAGGAGGTGGAGGTGGAGGAGGTAGAGGTAGAGGTGGAGGTGGACGTGGTGGGGGAACCGTTGTGTGTCTCCCACGAGGAGCAGGTGATCGAGACGGTGAACGACACCAACGGCCGGCCACTAACACCGCTGCAGGAAGCCACTGCCTCCACCTCCTCCACTAACATGAACATTAGTCCAATCAACAACAACAACTCAGGAGAAACAACACCCCCTCTAGCAACAACCCCCTCCCCGACAGAGCCCGGGTACAACCCCTCAGTATCCAGCACGCCCCCCTCTTTCACAGAGCTCTATGAACACAGATACACCCTGCGGACTTCACCCAGGAGGGCAGCCACCGGGGGCAAGGCCTCCTGCTCCAAGCTCAGCTCTCCTCCTCGAGACAATGGTCCCCTGAAGGAAGAGGGGGAGGTGGAGCTGCAGGAGGAGGCCTGCCCTATGGTGGAGGAACCTGCGCCCTCAGGCTCTGTGGGCCCCTCCTGTGAAGGGCCGGTCTCCATGGCTGAGGACATTGTGGCCGTGGTGGCTAAAGAGGAGGACCAAAGCAGGGAGGGGACGAGGAGCCAGCCTGCTGAGGAGGAGGAGGAAGAGGAGGAAGAGGAGGAGGAGCCAGACGTGTATTACTTTGAATCGGACCACCTGGCTCTTAAACACAACAAAGAGTATGTAGGAGCTCCCCGGGGATTATGCTCTCTCCTAGGGCTGCTCGATTATGGCAGAAATCATAATCTCGATTATTTGGGTCAATAATTGATATCACGATTATTAAAAACGATTATCCATTTACTTTGAAAACATCCATTTATTGGAGAATTTTTTTTTGAACAGTATGTTTTTATCAGTTGATTACCGTGAACTTTAAGGATAATCCAACTGAAAAACCAATAATACAAAAAATTAATTTAAAAAAAAGTAATAATAAAAAAATATTTTTTTTTTTTCGATTACGTTGTTTTCGTAATCGTTGCAAGCCATAATCGTAATTGCGATTAAAATACGATTAATTGAGCAGCCCAACTCTCTCCTCCTCATCTCTCTCACACGTGTTGATCGCTGTGTTCTGTGGTCGTTACTTCTGCTCTTTGGCTTTGAAGGAAGTCACTTCCGAGTTAATGAGGATTTGTTTGTGTTAAAAATGTGTTTTTAAAAAGTGCTGAAGTATTTTAGGGAAGCAGTTTATATACTTTGACTATGCTGCTTGTATTTGTATTTATCATTAGAAGTGAATGATTCTGAACCACCCCTCAGGTTGGTCACGGTTACGGGCCATTTCCTGCTATATTTGTTCAATGTTACATTTATAATTAAGAGGCCTTAAGAGATCTTAAATGTTCTTATTCCACAAGACAAAAGCCCAAATGAGATTCTTTCCTGCCCCTCTGATTTCTTTGATATCTCTGATTGTTGGCAGTGTTGTACTTATTAAGGATCATTTCTTTGTTCTTGACCTACAGCTACAGAAGTTCAAATGAAAAGTAATCTTAAAGAAATCAATATTGCCCTTTTGAAACTGCAATCCCTCTTTTCCAAAGACTGGATTCAAACTGAATTTCCCACTTGGGGGATAAACATCTTCTTCTTTATCTTCGAAAACAAATGAGAGGAAGCAGCACGTATAAGTGTTATGAGGTTGTTTCATTATCTGTTATTTTTAGTTTCTTCTCTTTGTTTATGGGAGAATCAGCGAGCATCTAACTATAGCTCCTGTATTTCTCAGGTTTTACACTTTGTAAGCGTTTCATTTCCACCCTCTATCTCGAGCTGTGATTGTGTGAACTTGCTGCCAGTTGCCCGCTCTCCATATCCTAGGGAGATTGGATTTTAAAAAGACTCTGCCGATTGCCTCGGATCCGTCTGTTCGCAGTACGATGAGTTATTTGACAGGAAAAGGGTTCCTCGTGTGGGGTTTGTTCCTAGTTGTCAAACAGGATGGGATGTTTATGATGGTGGGCAGGTCCCATGCTGAGCTCATTCAGGATGTATCTTCAGAGGAGGGGGGTGCAGCAGCTGAGGTCCCTTTGTCTTTGACACCGATATTAGTCAATGTGTTACATTTGGAGACTGGCTTCAGAGTAAGATTTCACTGCTCTCCGATTCCAAGTTTCTGTGACGTGCCAAGTCTTAGTTTCTGCTGAGCGAGGAGTTATTTGAAGGCTCCGATCAATGCAGTCATTTTTAAGGGAGCATGACTAGGCATTTTAGGGTTTGCTGAATATGGAGAATTGACACGGTCATGATTGATGATGTCTTTACAGAACAACTTTTATTTTCATGGTGCAGTTTTGTCCATTTGGACACAGTCCCCTCGACTGATTTCAAGAAACTACTTTATTCGAGCCAGCTTTTTATTTGTACCCTGTGGTTTTCAGTGGTATTGGGGCCCAGCAGGTGGCAATGGTACACCAGGCTTCTCCTCGGACACCTGGCGGGAGTCCAGAGAGCGGAGAAGCTGCGCCAAGTCCTCCTCACTTCCTGTAAACAGATGAATACACACACGGATCGTCTGTTCATCTGAGGAAGGCGGCATGCTTGCGTTTGAGTCAGAGTGACTGTAGTACAGGAAATGTGCAGTAGTGGCTGCAGGGGCAGATTTACAGCTTCACCGCACTCAGTGATGCAGAACGAGGTCAGCAGAGCGTCACCTAGTGCAAAGGGTGGTGTCTGTATCTAATGGAGGGATATGAGGTCAAGCACCGGTGACTTGTTTGAATGTTTTGCTCACAGGATTTTCAAACCACAGCAGCTGTTGAATACATTCTGTCCTGTGCATTGATTTTCATTCATGTCCTGTTAGGGGGGGTTGATCCACTCTGAGCACTCGCATTAGGTTATAGCCATGTAGTAAACTTGTCACATTCCTGTCCGTTCACTGTGGCTCCTCTGCGTCAGTCGCACACTTAGTCACTGACAGCTCAGTTTGCAGCTCTTCTGTGGCGCAGAGGGTGTGTGAGGAAAGGTCAGACTTGTAAAGCGTGGACGGCTCCTCAAGCGCCGCAAAACCCAGTGTTTGTCGTGCAAAGGTTTCGCTGTTGCTATGAAAACCGGGCTCAGTTACCGAGCAGTGGTTTAAGTGCATCTTCTCTTCCCCTTGAACCTTCACTTACCTTCTGCAGTTGCAATAGATGAGTTGCTGTTTTGATTATTTGCTAAAGGAGCAGCTGGTTTGAGACACATTTTCTTTGCAAACTAAATGCCTTTTTTTTAAATGCATATTTTGCAAAATAAGTGGAAAGGTTTGGAGTCTGTTTCATTTCTTGTGCAATGACTCAAAGCAAGGAGCATTCATTCTGGTTAGATTTCTGTGGCTTCGGTGCACAAAGTGAGCAGTGTTTCCGTCGTATGGATACTGATCTTGTTTTGTTTAAGCCGTCAACAATACATTTATATAGTGATGTAAAACCACATCTCACTATTTATTTTTTTGAAATATTATTTAGAAAGGATCTGTTTTGAGTCCTTTAAAATCTGCAAATTCTCTCCATCTGCTGAATGACTTGCCAAGGTTGACTTTTGTTTTGGTTCCTGATTTTTGTTTTCTTTGCTAACCCTACCCGGCTTCAACCATAGCCACAAAACGTCAAAAATATCATTCTGGATAACATACTATTACTCCCTGCAAAGCTTGGCCTGTGAACAAATGCTTCCTCTGGGAATCAGGTTTTGGAACAGACATACAAAATAACTACAAACAAACAGACAACCTTCTTACTGATGGGCTCGTTTGCATATTTAGGTCATTTTCAGGCATCCATGTTAAAAATGAGACCTTATTTTTTTACAACCGGTTTCTTGTAGTCGCTTTTAGCCCTCAGCTCCATGATTGAATTATGCATCGTCCGGGGTCTAAAAGTTTGATGCACTGCAGCATTGCGAGTGTCAGGTTGAATAATGTAAGCCGTCCCTCCCTCCCACTGTTGTCTAACCGGGCTCTCCTGCGTCTCAGTTACCAGAGGCTGCTGCAGACCATCGGGGTCCTCGAGGCCCAGCGAACACAGGCCATCCTGGACCTGGAGACGTTGGCACGGCAACAGAGGGAGGCGCTCGCCGATCCCATCAGCTTTGTGGAGCAGCTGCAGAAACGGGTAACTAAACAGCAAAGTTTGAATAGCTATTAAAGGTCACCTATTATGCAAAATCCACTTCTTCATATGTCTTCTACATCAACATGTGTTCCCTCTGTGGAAAAAGATTCTGGAAGTTTCAGGAAAAAACGTTTTGTCCTGATCCATTTATATAAAAAATGAAAATGATCTGATCAGATTTTGGCCACTTTATGATGTCATAACAGTTTTTTGGCTTGTGTAACCATTAGCCAATCAGCAACCAAGGTACCCCCCCCCCCCACCTTATCACCTGAATCTCCTCCTAGAGCACCATTGCGTTCTTTTTAACCAAATCTCTCTCAGAAGAAGGGCGTGGGGAGGGGCTCCTTTATTTTTCATTCTAAAGTAACAGACAGACAATCAGCACTTTTGAGAACAGGGCTGAAAACAGAGGGGATTTTATGGGTAAGTGCATGCTCTGCAAATGATCGTTTTGGTGTTTGGAGCCAAAAGATTATGGGTAATGCTGCAATGATCTGTTTGGTGTTTGGAGCCAAACACTTTAGAGACATGTTTGTATAAATCTGAGATCTATAATATATTGATGAAAAACAGTATGATAGGGGACCTTTAAAAGGAGTTCTTGTTCTTAGGTTTTTAGCCTGAGGGATACCTGGCTGCTCGAAACGCTGCTTGAATAAATATTTGGGAGCTTTTTATAATTCACTGCAGACCACTTCTCCTTTTCCACTGTATGACTCAGATTATGTTCTGCACCTGTTCACAACTGAGACAGGATGTGCAGACTGTCCACCTTTCTCTCTAGATCTTTCTGAATGCTCATGAATAAAATATGAAGGGGAAATGAATTTGTACATTTGTCCACTCATGTAAATGCAAAAACACTGAACACAATCAGAACACCTGCTGCACGTGTTAAAGCGACGACCTGCTTAAATGTTATATTCACTCATTAGCGTATGGTAATTTGTGTGCAGAGAGAAGGATATTGTGCATTCAAACAAAAGAAAATCAAGTCTTGAAAAGCTCAGTATAAAGCCAGCAACCCAGTCTTTTGAATACAGATTTATAAATCACTTGAAGACAGACATCCATGCTAACTTGGTTTACGTTAAGCAATGCCTGGCGTTTTTTTTTTATAAAAGCACAAAGTTACCAGACAAAACGTAGTTAACAAAAGTAGAAAATGTCCCAAAACATAAGCACTTGTCTTGCAGTGTTTGCTTCTCATACATTGCCCCATGTTCAACCTTGATGCAGGAAAGTTTAAGAAGTTAAAATGTGTTTTTGTTATTTGTTAATGGATTTTAACCTTCTTGTGTCCGTCAGGTTAATTTGGGTTTGCCGCGTCCTCAGCGAGTCGTGCAGCTCCCTGACATCGGATGGGATCAGTACACCTCAGGCCTCAGCGACTTTGAGAGAGAGTTCTGCGACAAGAAGCGCAAAACCAGGCGGCTAAAGCTGATCTTTGACCAAGGCATGTTTACACCGTATATGCTTTGTCTTTGTGTATGCAGTTTTTCTACCCTTTCATTATAAAAATGAACAACTTAACGATTCTTCTTCCACTTAAAAAGTACTAATTCTGCTCTTTCCGTCCCCTCAGGTTTGCCTGCCCGACCAAATAGTCCAGTAGAGCCCAAGAAGGAAGGCGAGTCGTCCACCATGTACTCGTCTCTGCCCACTAGTGACGCTCTGGAGAACAGCAGGCAAGCACAGGTATGGCTCAGCTGAAATCACACACACACACACACACACACACCACACCACAACACAACACAACACAACACAACACAACACAACACAACACAACACAACACAACACAACACAACACAACACACACACACCAACCACACACAGCTGTGATGGTCTCCCAGTATATCATTAGTGCAGATGCAGCTCCATCCGTTTGTTTCTATCTATAGCCGGTGAGTAACCGATCTCCTGCAGGTTGGCCTACAAATCATCCCGTTGTTACCTCATTACATGCGTAGGCCTCCTCTCCCCCGCCGGGAGAGTTAAGCATGCAGCACATGTGAGCACAAAAGATGGTATCTATGGAAACATGAGGAGCCCGCCTCCCCCACACCTCTGTATAGGCAGTGAGGTTTCACTTTTGATTGATTGTTGGGATTAGACGGCGCCAAGCACCGAGCAAACAACTGGATCCCTTCTGTTGAACTGCCTGTTCATGTTGTGCCGTTACATTTGCATTCTCCAAGGTTACACTCTGACATCTCACAGGATTGTGTTTGTCAGTCTGAAGTGTTACTGTGTTTTCCGCGTTTTTCCCAATTTCCAGTCTCCTCTGACAGTCGGGCTTTGTGTGTCACTCTGACGGATCTCTTTTAAACGGTGCAGTGTCCATTATTCTGTATCTTTAACATGGCTGTCACTCATGTTTTCTTAACAGTTGATCAGGGGGAGGATCTCTCAGCCGAACAAGTCCGACACGTTCAACCAGCTGTGGACGGTGGAGGAGCAGGTAGGTGTTCCATGCTGGGATTTATTTCCCAGATATTATAACATTGTTTTCACAACCCCTGTTTCTCACTTGGATTTCAGAAAATGAATAACTTCATAATAATAATAATACACTTTATTTATATCGCACATTTCCAATTGCTTTTCTTAAAAACAGAACACAATTAAATACAAAGAATTAAATGAACTAAAAACCTTACAAAACAGAGGAAGTAAATCAAACTAAGTCAAATGGTGAAACAGAGTTGAATAAATAACAGTAATACAAAAATAAATAAAATCAAATAACGGTCATTCTCAAAAAAAAAAATTTTTTAAAGAGCAGAGAGGCAGGTCGCTATCAAACATTTCTCTGATAAAATCATATAAAATACATGAAACACTAATGTTGCAATGCAGTATATTATCATCCATTCCTCAAATAAATTGTCTTTATATTGTTTTAATCTGTTGTTTTGTATATTTTGCTAGAAAAAACTGGAGCAGCTTCTCCTGAAGTTCCCTCCCGAGGAAGTGGAGTCCAGACGGTGGCAGAAGGTCGCTGATGAGCTCGGCAATCGAACAGCGAAACAGGTGACGGAGAAAAGCCATTCAACTGATGCTCGTTTGATTTATGCTCATTACCTGCTTTGTGTTGTTTGCTCATTTAAAAAAGATGTTTTTAAATTGACCTACACCTGAGTGCTAATGTGTCCTTGTGTTTTATTCGCACTGATAAATCTGTGTGCCTTTTACTGTTGAAACAGAGTTACATGGCGTGTACTCTCTGCTAAAAGGCAGAGACCCCCTGCCGGCAGCAGGATCATACACTTGCGTGACCTCAATTACCTGAAGCAGCTGTTCCTCGGTTGGAAATCATTAACACAGCCATTTTCCTTTTAAAACATTCCAGGTGGCCAGTAGGGTTCAAAAGTACTTCATCAAACTGACTAAAGCTGGTATCCCCGTGCCTGGAAGAACACCCAACCTGTGCATGTACACTAAAAAGGTATTTAAAGGTTATTTACTTACAAACCGCTTAACCCCACTGAGTTACTAATGGGGCTTCCTTTTGAATGTAAAAGGGACATGTTACCACTTCTCTCCAGGGCTATTCATCTGGATTATTGTTTTGTGAGTTAATGAGTGTTGGAGATGGCAACTGTGGAGTAGCTTTAATAAAAAAAAAAGAGACATTGCTGTTGAGTTTTTAAGATTTTCCTTTGGGATGTTTTGGGCGCCATAGTTCGATTATTTTTAGAAAAAAGGCAGACATCTCCACATCTACATCTCTACAGCCAATATCTCCAGAAATGGTCAGCTGTAACACATAAGATTGGAATATTATAAACTAAGGGCATCGTGTCATTTCTTATTTAATTCTGCATACTTTTGCCTCACATGATCAGGGTGTCCGCGGGGTCTTAAAAAGTATTAAAAGTTAATAAATCAATTTAGCGGAAATGAAGGCTATTAAAAAGTATTAAACGGCATTTTCCAAGGTATTACATTTTGTAGTTTGTTTTCGGTAAGTATATAAATTGTCCAAGGAGTTTGTATTCTACAGTCTGCCTGAATGTAATCATTGCGTAGGTGTGTAGTGTGATTCTGTGTAGTTTATTTATGGCATCCCGTTGGGTTTGACGTCATCTGAACAGGACATCGCACGCTGACTGCTTGATAGCGCGTGAAGGTCCGTTTACGCCGGTTGTTAAACAACATCGTTATGGGGAAATGCAAGTTTGCGTCCAAATGGTTGAAAGATAAGGAGGAAGGACAATCAATACTGTATATAGTCAATGTGAGGTAAAGTGTGTCGCCAAGGTAACCGGTTAGAACTCAAAGTGGCGATGAGGTATTAAAATGTTTGGAAAGGGTCTTAAAAAAGGTCTTAAAAGGAATTCCATCTGACTTCAGGATTCCTGCATATACCCTGTTAATGAGAACGTTATCCTTGCAGGTTCCAGATCCAAAGGGGAAACAGCGACCCAAACAGCTACAAGAATTTGACTGATTGCTTCCGGACCATCTTCCGCAACGAGGGGTAAGTTATTGAAAATCAGTTATTTCAAACTTCCAAACAAAATAATGTTTCGTTAGAGCACCGATGATGTCAGACATTCATTTAGATGAGTGGAAAAGCAGTCGTTTCTCAGTCTTCACTCGGACGGCTTAGATTAAGGTGCCCTTTGTTTGATCTTATATTTCAATTTGAAATACTATAGTAAACCTCTATGCAGCAATTCATTCAAATTCATCCACATGCCTCATTTTTCAAATACAATTAGTGATACTGTAAACAAAGGACTTTAAGTGGTGAAGCTGTGGCTGTAGCTTTGTCCAAAACCACAAACAATCATGTAGAAATGTGCATAAGCCTTTTATAAATGGACTAATACATCTGTTTAACCTGTATTTGTTGATAATGTAGCTTCTACATAAAGTAGAACAATCCTTTGTGTCATCAGAATAATCTGCTGAGGAAAAGCTCTAGGTAGGAAATACATGTGTAGTGAAATATTGTGATAGATGTTTTTATTCAAATGCCACTACAGGGAACTTGGCAAGATGTTCTACTGGCATCACAGCTGAAGGTGTTACAGTTTTGGTTTTTAGAAGAACCGTTTTGTCTGTCAACGGCTCACGTCAACATCCTGCAGCAGTGAACGCATCTCGTCACTCCTTTTGTCTCACAACGGAGAAGAGAGCAGCTGTTGTTGGCTTAAAACCGTAAAAATGTTTCCAGCTAACTAAAGACAGTTATCCCGCCATGCTCCCTCCTCCTCCTCCTCCTCCTCCTGCTCCTGCTCCTGCTCCTGCTCCTGTGACAGGACTGTGAGACAATGCAGGTGAAGGAGAAAGTGTTTGCCACTCGCTCTGTTTACGGCGAGTCGACAGCTTTACAGCGGATATAAAGTTGATCTGCTGCGAGGTGTGTGTGAGTGCACGGCGAGAGGCTGCCTAGTGACAGTTGGAAAACCTTCATTGGCAGTATTTCAACAGACACAGCTATCCTGCTACAGGAGCAACACACACACACACACACACACACACACACACACACACACACACACACACACACACACACACACACACACACACACACACACACACACTCTTTCTCACAGTGTAAAATGTAATGCCTTTGTGCCAGCATGCTTTTTGGGCGTGTCATCTGGGATTCATTTCCAGTACATTCTCTAACAATAACAATTTTTTGTTAGATAACACAGCATCAAATATGACAGTTATTTGACTGAAGTCCCACTTAACAAAGCTATGTGCCAGAGACTCTCAACTAACAGAAGATCCACTTTCTTGTCGAACAATTATCAGGGAAAGTATATTTTTGCTGAAGCTGTAATCACTCCCCAGTAGCCCATTGTGGATTTCCTCCAGGCAAAACCACTTAGTTATAGTTTATATAAATAGTATTAAACCCCACTGTTGTAGAATTATTATTAAAAATAAACACTTCCCGTCAGCTCGTGGCGGGGCTAATTCCAGGCCTCACTCTCTCTCTGAGGTGATGAGGAAGGAAACCTGAGCTCTCTGCTCGAGCTCTGTGATTAAGCTGGGGGAAAGGCATGGAAATGCGCATGTGACACCATGTTTGACATGAAAACTGAGGATTTCACTTTTGTATTGGATTGTTTTATACTTGTTATTAAGCAACCTTTATAATAGTTTGGATAATTTCAGTTGAAAACTCAAAATATTAATTAAGCTATTATTATTAAATCTGTAAAATATAGCATGAAATCCTGTAGCTGTGCTCATAGGTGTGTGACAGTGTGAACTATGCTCACCAACAATCAGTTGGTGTATCGTCTTACAGGCCACGCTTCTTTTTTTGCATGTGGGTGCAGCAGTATAAGCATGTGTTAATTGTTTCCGTCTGGAGGGAAACAAAAAGACTCTATTCTCCAGCATCATTCACCAGTGTGGTATCCAGAGACTGGGTCGAGACCCTAAGCACGGCCACAGGAATATTTAAAGGGTCCATGCATTACAGCAGAGCACGTAGGCCCAGCGTTCAGTGGAGAAATGACGAATTCCTGAAAAGCAGAGTTTAGGGTGTAGCAGTTATATTTGATGTAGTTGATGTTGGAGCCAATTTGGTGTGTGTGTGTGTGTGTGTGTGTGTGTGTGTGTGTGTGTGTGTGTGTGTCATCATCATCCAATCTGCGCACCTGGGAGCACGGGAGGTAATTAAGCTATATATGTGGGCACAGGTGATCAATTGGGATGAGAGGTTAGAGAGGAAGCCACACGTTTTTCCACCGTGTTGAACCGTGATTGTTTGTGTCTTAGCGTGTGCGTGATAGTTGTTTTAACCAAGATTTTAGATAGGCCTACGTGAGTCGTAAAATAACATTTTAACCTTGGAGAAAGAAATAAAGCATTACAAATTACGTCATGGTGGACCTCATCCTTCACCACAACATGCGTTGGGAACTCTGACTGCTAACCTCCATGAGTGGCCCTTTTTGATGAGTGATCGCCGCTACAGTTGATTCAGATCAAGATATGTGAATTATTATGACTCTCAATGTCTGCCACTGCCACCTGTCCTGTGAAATGTTATCAGCTGTTATTTATCACATTATATTTGATGTCTCATTTATCTAAAGTGACACGGCTTGGCCCTTTTTAAATGTATTTGTTTCTCCAATTTCTTCCAAGTATTTTCATTTTGCACTAAATTATTAGTATAATGAGAAAATACTCTTCTCAATTTTGAAGTTTCTTCATTCATAGGAGCATACAAAATAGGATTACTCATGTTGTTTTTTTTAATGATCAGAAAATTGTTATATTGGAATAAATTGCAATATTGAGAGATATTAGCATACACTATTCTGATTGTATCTTTCATTCTTAATAGCAGTAAAGAAGAACCTTCAAATCATAAATATCCAATTCCCGTATCCATATAGCAAACTTAATTAAATATATTTCGTACTTCTCTGAGCTCATGAGGATTAATGCTTATTTTTACCTCCATGATATTCATTTTACATTTCTATAATGCATTGAATAGTGACATGTGCCCTTTGTGCTTTTACCTTGTGAATCTCGGCTGCTGCTAATTGTACTTCATTGTCCCGTTTATGTGACAACGTCAAGGTTACACTAGACGCTGGGAAAGTGAAAATATTTGCAGATGAAGCATGCCGGTTGTTGACATGTTAAAACGTTCCCCAGGGCAGCTCACATTTCCCAACAACAATGGTGTGAACATGAAGAAGTTTACGGATGGAAATGATGTCGCTTTATGTGTTTACACATTTAAACTGCTCAGAAGTCAATATTGTTTGCTTGATGAATATGTTTGACCAGTTAATTGAATCCGTTGTGTCTGTGTACTCCTGCTACACACCTCTCCAGATGGATGGAGGCTGTTAAAAAAGGAAAGGTTTATGAAAATGAAAGACAAGTGTGTACAAACACACACCTACACACACACATATATCCATCCCCCCCCCCCTTCCCTCGCTCTGTGTCAGGAGGCCATTTGTTTAGGAAAGCCAAAAGGGGACTTAGTGTGTATTTTACATTGGAAATCAAATTAGGATTCAAATGATGGGCACTCACTAAAGGCCATATTTGTTCTGTAACAAATTTCACTCCTCCTTCATCACCTGGCGGTTCCCCATTCTGACCACACCCGGGAAATCTGTGGCCACCATTTGCATAGAAAAAGAGAGCAGAGGGAAGGGTCTTCCGTCCGACTGAAATAACTTGTTTACTGATACAATACAAGGTTACCATTTTGGCTTCGAGGCGCGATTCTCCCTGTCCATAATTCCCTGCTCCAGTATTATGATGGCTTTATTACCAAGAGCCGGTAGCACTTGTGTAACTTCAGGTGTTGATGAAAGAGGTTGGCTCTGTCACCCGATCACAAGTGTTTTGATAATTTGAAGTGGTTCACTGCTGTTTCTGGAAAGCCGCCTCGCTGCTGTGGATTCTGTGCACTGTCTAAAGACCAGTCCTTCTCCTCTGGGTAGATTCGGTTGAAATTTGAGCCGGCACCACAAATATTTACACTTGGGCCAAATCAACCAAGATCGTCCGTGTTGGCACAACAGAGCTGGTGGCGCTTGTTCACAAGATACAGTCGTTCACGCCATGTTGTCCTCTTTGTCCACAGAGCTGTGTTCACTATCAATATGAACTCTTTTACTTTCGCTCTCTATCCCTGGATCTGGCCAGAAGCCATGTGGAAAGTTACATGTGGGTTTTTTTCCATCCTTTTTTTAAAACTTGTATTATTTGTATTGGTTTTGATGACAAACTATATAAGGGTTGTGATATTCTTTATTTTTGTTAATGTCAATGCCTCTTTTTTGCCAATCTCTCAATACTTTACGACTTCCTTCATAGTCTGTCCCATTCCTAGTTCAGTCAGGCATCTTTTATCAGCTACTCAGGAAGTCTATAATACAGAACAAAGCTTAACTAATTCCTTAATGATTTTTAGCAATGAAAGTTTAAGTCTTTGTTGTGGAATAATTTCAGCTGCGGATTAGACACATTTGCTGCTCTATTTTTAATAACTCAACATTCAAATGAACTAAAGTGTCAAAATTCATCGAAATGAAGGTACATATAACCAAGTGGCTCATTTGTGCGTTTTAATCGTTTTTGACCAACGATTGAGCTCTATGGCACATATTAATAAGCTATGGCTTTGGCACACGGATACTTTCTTTAGGTCTGACCGCTTCTGACTTCAAACGTTTTATTTCTGACAAAGCAACAGGTTTGTAGGTGGTAGTTAGAATTAGAGATGTTCCGATCCCCTTTCTTTGCTCCCGATCTGATTCCGATCATTTGATTTTGACAATTTGCCGATACCGATTTTTCTCGATCCGATCTTTATGCATTAAGAGGAAAAAAAGCATTCAAGTTGTCCCTTAAGGTTATTTTTTTATTTAAATTGGATATTCTATCCAACATGGATATAGCTTCTTTCTTTCACAGCAGCATTGGATCAGTTCAGTTGTGCAGCATTGGATCAAAACAAAATAAAGCTTTCAGTACTCGTTAGCTTACTGCTACAATTAGACACTGCGCCCTGCCCACTCTGTTGCCAGATTTGAGAGAAATAAGCAACCAGGTCTATGAAAACAAGCCCCAAAGAAGCAACACATACANCAATACATACATGATGTTCTGTAATTTGAAACCAAAACTAAGGCCTCAGGATGACTTTAAGACTTGAACATGATCATTTTTGTTTTGTAACATTGAATACAAAATAAAAAAAAATAAAAATTTAAAATCCCGATCCCCGATTTTTTTCTCTCCCGATTCCGATCTTTTGAAAATCACGTGATCGGCTCCGATCCCCGATCACGTGATTGGATCGGGACATCTCTAGTTAGAAACCTTGCTCTCGCAACACAGTAGGGAAAAAAATGGGCAAAAACTCACTGTTAAACATGCTTCAAAACAGCACTGGCAGTCACATTATGTTTTTATAATGTTTCATGTTCAATTTGTCAGGTATTCCCTATATTGTGTAATATATTCATGACATCTTCCTACTGGTTGGTTGGTTAGTCATGTATAGAAGTGGTCAAAGTTAATTATTTAACTGAATACAAACATTTCCTGGAAGACTTTTATAGGTTTCAAGATGTAACAAGAAAATATTTTGTTTACCCCTGTTAAAAGATTTAGACCAGTTTGACCTGTTTCCCTTTGAGGCAATCCCACATTAAGGAATGAGAGATGTTGTCTGGGTTGATCATCACAACATCTAATTACTAATTAGACAGCTTTTATTGTTGCCCACTTGTGTCATAGATAGGTGGGGTTTTAGCAAAAATGTTTACTGATATTTGAAAAGAATCTATTGCATAATTTGTCTTTATAATATCATTTGATTGACAACTAGTCTGACATCATCTGCCTCGCCCTGTTACTTCACAAGCTATAAAAAGTGAACTATTGAACCCATGTTTTCACTAAATTGAAGAGCAGGGAAAACGCACATGTATGCACTTCTGAATGTATATGAAACATGCTTTGTGCTTTCTTTGCAAAACAGAAAACACACTATCTTCTTTCATGTTTTCATCAAATACATCATTTTTGAGAACGGGAAACCGTAACTCTTCCAATGATTAACACAACAAAATAAAATACTCTTTGATAAAGAACAAATAGGTTTAAATATTCGGTTTTAGATTCATTAATTGTAAATCAATTATATAGTTTAACTCTAGAGAAACACCATTAGGACATGTGTGTATATTTAAGAAATATCCAATCACATTTCTGTGTTTTAAACTATGGAATTGAAAAATAAATCAAACCAACAACCTAACCAGACTGGACATTTGCTCTGTAAATATACTCCACCAAATGGATTGCTTTCAAAATACAGTGTAAACTGTAGGCATACATCTATATATGCATGACTCAGTGTATCATTTTATTATTTTTCCTGCCGCCAAGTACGCTTTAAATCATGGCAGGACATATGATTGAGGATAGGCAAAAATCAAATTGACTAAAATTATACGGCTAGTCTCTTCTGAAACATTGAGTATATCAAGGTCTGAAATAAACTCTCAAATCCTTTCCTGCGGATTCCAGGGGAACTTGTATGCCAGGGTTTGTGGTTTTAAATACATGTTGGTACTTATGTTGCCAAGCAGCAGCAATATACTTTCCATTTTCTGAGCTCGGTAAATGTCCCGCAGTCCATATTCAGAATGGACATAGTTTTGAACGTGATAACCTAAATATAAATAATAAGAAGGTAGGACCTATGCCCACAGGATGCCCAATAAACAGACAACTCTCCACATAGATAATTATATTCATTAGGGTGAACTCCCCTTTAATGCACTGCTGTAACCAATGTTATCATTGCATTTTAATTAGGTTTGTGTAGATTCACTTGAAAAATCTGCACATTACCTGTAAGCTCAAAAAAGTTCTGAAACATAACTAACACTAGCATGCTTTTTTATCCAAAATGTTCAGCTGTAATGTAAAGGATAATATACATTTGTAGTTAATGGGATAACAAAATGTGAAACAACGGGTATGGTTCTGTAAGGCCTCTGTCCTGCTACTTCACACACAATCACAAAATATTGAATTCTGCTTGCGACCATCAGTACAATAAGAAGAGATACTCAGTTTATCATTCCATATAGTAAGGAAAGCATACATCTTCGCAAATTAGAAATTGGTTTCATGGCATATTTCTTAGAAAATACTTAAAATATGAATAAATTATTCGTTCGGCATCTTCTTTGATTAAAATGCAAGGTGGAAATTGAAACGGCATCCGATAATAATAATTTAATGATGATCATAACACTTAAAAATGTGTCTGCTCTTGTTACAGAATATCCGGTTTCTACAAAGGGATCCTTCCTCCGATTGTTGCAGAGACACCAAAGAGAGCAGTCAAGGTGAAATGAAAGACGCGCATGTTGATTCATAGAAAACCACACGACTTCAGGTGCAACGCTCCAGTTGTAGTGTGAACTCCCGAATAAAAACAGTCTGACCACAGTTGCTTTGACTTTGTACACACACGCTGATTAAACAAAATGACATGTCTGCCTCCTCAGCCACTCCTATTTTTACTATTCCTACTAAATATTGACTTACAAGCAGTTAGAACAAGCCTTCCCCTTGAGCCTCCATCTATTGATAGGTGTTTGTAGTAGGGCTTCTCAATTATGGCAAAAATCATAATCTCGATTATTTGGGTCAATAATTGATATCACCATTATTAAAAACGATTATCCATTTACTTTGAACAGTATGTTTTTAACAGTTGATTACCCTGAACTTTAAGTATAATTCAACTAAAAAACCAAAAAAAAAAATGTAATATTTTTTTTTTTTTCGATTACGTTGTTTTCGTAATCGTTGCAAGCCATAATCGTAATTGCGATTAAAATACGATTAATTGAGCAGCCGTAGTTTGTAGGAAGACTTACAACATGTAATTGGGGTGAGGTAGGGGGGATAAAAGGGAGCCTGAAGCCTGGCATGGAGCTGCTCTGTAATGAGATACTGGACACGGGTATGTGTGAACTTTAAAAATAAGCGCACACACTGAGAAAATGAGGTAATCGCTCACACAGCGAACAAAGCGTAGCAAATTAAAGCTCCGATTAAAACGCCTCTTCTGGCGCTTTGCCCTTTGATCAGATAAACAAATGAGCGTTATGTGTGTCCTTCTCAGAAGTGTTTCTTCCCTCTGAGAATGTGATCCAAGGTTTACACTACTGTATCATTTTAATGTGCTAGTTTGGTTAATCCAAAGCTCACCTAAATTGCCCTTTGTTCCGGAGTGTCTTTTAAGGTAGCTGCTTCTGATAGTGTGCATATGTGGTTGTGTATTTGCGTAGAGGTGTACATTTAAAACATGACTTTCTGACAAGTAATTTGTTCTGATATTCCCTCTGCAGTTTTTCACTTTTGAGCAATACAAGAAGGCGCTGAGTTTGACCCCTTTGTCTGCTGGTGTGGTGAGTCTTTTACACACAGAAACACCTGAACACACTCACCTGAAAAATAAACACATGCACAAGACCAGGAAGTGCGTTACACCCTGTGTCGAAAATCAACATATCAGCTCATCTGCCAAAGGCTGATTAAACAAAGACTAATGCCAAGAAAAATATCACCAACTACCCTGTTATTGTAAATGTTCCCGTCAGTACAGATTCATGTAAACCTAGAGAATTTACTGCACTTTCTTTTCTTTCTTTCTTTTATGAGGCTATTCACCTGTTGAGCCTTAACCCTGCATATTGGTTCTACTAAAATTTGAATCATGGCAGCTTTACTGACCAAACAGAAGGTCGTCTCAAATTAGACAGGACAGAATGTAAACATCTCGAGTGGGGATTAAGTGAATACATAAAGCAACATCATTTTGTTAAGCCCAAATGAAAGCAGTGTCGATGCAACTAACACATTTAATGAACTTATAACTTAATTAAGGTCTAACAAAAATAACAAACAACAGTCCATGAACCAACTTCAATAACTATCCATATGGAGAAAACCATATACGGTATCTTATGTTGAGCAGGATTATGGTGTAAGAATCAATCCAAGTCATTTTGTGTTTTAACAAATCTTTAATTGAAAGGGATTTATATTAAAAATAAAGATGTGAGCAACCCAAACCGTTTTTACATGTGAAATGTGTTTGTCGAGTCAATGTTTGATTTAAAATCCAGTGTGCTTGAGTGAAGCCAAAGTAATTGCAAACAAAACTCCAATTAACCAGACTCAAGTCTATGTTTGCTTGGAGGTTGTTAATTCTAGAGAATGGTTACAACTCAGGCCATGAATCAACAAGCGGTTTCATCCATCTCCACCAATCTGGTTTCTGTTAGATTTCCACGGCAGACGGATCCACGTTACCGGGGTGCGGTCACCACACACACAGCCTATTCAAGTGGCAGCCAAGTGTCATGGATCGCTTAGTTGGAACTCGTCTTGTTTTTAAAGCCATTGGTGGAGAAATATCTACCTGTCCCATCCATCACGCTCTCCACCTCCTCCTTCTATCTCCTCGTCGTCCTCTGCCTCAAGAGCCTCCATTTCCCCTAGAGGCCCCTGCGTATCAAGTGCTGTAATCACATCAGATCATTAGTGCGAGGGAATTACACATTGCTCCTGACTGGCTCCCTCTCTCCCGTCTATTCAGCGGGGCACAGCTGAATGCCCTCACTCTGATTAATGAGGACACGCACAGTAATAATACAAATAAGGAATTAAAAAGTGGCTGGCTGGCTGTGTAAACATTGCGAGGCATGTCTGAGAGGATGGGTCCCGGGGCCCTGACAGCAGGGACAAAGAGGCAGGAAGAGTAATGAGCTAAAGACACGTTCTTGACATGTTCCCATTACGCTTCTCCGTGAGCACGCACCCACACACTCATACTGCCCCATGCAAAAACATGCCGTGTTGCAACATCCATGATTATATAATTACAAGTCAGGGTTATACATGTATAAATAGCCAGTATTCTTGTTACCTCTTTGGGTGGCACATTAAAGTGCTGTGATTACAGGAAAACAAGTGATTATAAGATGTTTTTTTGACCGAACTTGAATAGAATTTTTTCCAATGGTGAATCTTTAACAGCCTGTTTTCACAAATTCCTTTTTTCTCCCTTTTCGTTCACCTTCCTATACGTCCTGTCTGTCATCTCACATTCTGTCAAATTATAAAGCACACAGGTGTCTTGTGTGTTTTCATTTGTCAAACTGCAACAATGACAAGGCGTGACTGAAACAAATGTCCATTTTAAAACGAGACAAAAGACTCGGGGAACAAGTTCCTGAAAGCGAAATTCTGATTCAGCTCTTGTAGCTCGGACACGTTGAAAATACTCCTCTTTGTCTACATCCATTTCTCAATTCTTCTCTGTCTCAACCCAAATATTATCTGCACATACTAAATCATGTCCGTCTTCCCTCCAGGCGCTCTCTGTAGCAGGGCTCGGCGCAGGCTTGACTGAAGCAGTTGTCGTCAATCCATTTGAAGTGGTGAAAGTCAGTCTCCAGGCCAACAGAGACGCCTTCAAAGAGGTTGATACAAATAAATCTCTGATGTGTTTCTACGGATGGGGTTTTTCGTCAGCATGTGAATATCCTTCTTTTTAATTCACTCTCTCCAATTCAGCAACCGTCTTCCTTCGCTCAAGCAAGACGCATAATTAATGCGGACGGATTCGGACTGAGGGGCCTGAATAAAGGACTCACATCGACGCTGGGACGCCATGGAGTTTTCAACATGATCTACTTTGGCTTCTACTTCAATGTCAAGGATGCTATTCCTACCAGCCCGGTAATATTCCAACCAAAATCTGTGATCACATCCCGGCCTCAAGTGCTGTGTTTTTTTTTTTTTTTTGGGAAAGAATTGCAACCTAAGTTTCAGACAAACCAAACTGTTTGTTTGTAGCCTTGACTACACTTAATTTTCCCTAACTTCAGGCTATATGATATGCACGTGTCCCAGCCACCTCGCCTATGGGGGAATGCAAGTGTTTGACAGAATGATTAGTTAGCCTGACTGCCATGGAGAGGAGGAAACAGAAATCAGAGAAGAGCTTGTAAGATCAGCCTCGCTAATACCTCGTCTGTTTGCTCGTCATAACATCCTCAAAGTCTCAGATTACACATCCGGCAGCGCCTGATGTCCCAAACAAAAGTTAATTTTGTTTAATGGAAACGTTACCATACGCCAGTTCCACATGTACAAACCGGAGCATTAGATTAACTCCAATGAACTAATTGGAAGCAGACAACGGTACCACTTTCAAGAGAAAGTTACAGTGTGTGCCCAAGCGCTGCTATATTCAACATATTTCCAGTGACGCATGTTATACAGAGAAGCAAGTGGTCATCGTCTGAATGATAATTATGTGGCTGGATGACCCAAATAGCTCTCTTCTGAGACTCTTTTGGGAATGATCCATCGGTATGTACGGTGATGGAGTGACCTTGTTTGTGAGAGGCTAACAGCATCTATTGTTGAGGCAGAAAAGGATAAATACTGTGGCCTCCGTCAGTTTACAGGCTGAGCTGATTGTGGCATTTCTCCAAACCCCCTTTGTCCGCAAAATGAGCGATGGGCTTGCAACTCAAACATGTCCATATTCAAATTAAACTGTCCGAGCTCAGGCATCTCTCCACCTCTATTTTAACAGTACAGAGGTGGCAGATAGCACACTGCCATCATTCACAAGTGAATGTGTGAGGAGATGTTTGCTTTAGGCTGTTAGGAAGTGGGTTGATGGGTGTACTTAGGCCGAGGGTATGTTACCCCCTTCCCCACATCCCACTTGAAAAAAACTGAAGAAGTGGGATTAGCTGTTGATTTACCTCGGCTCTCAGGGTGTCCAGCCGCTTGAGAAAGGCCTGGACCAGAGAGGCTGCTGTCATTTGTAAAAATATCCCGGCCAATTAGCTGTCAGAGCTCTCTGAGTCTGGGCTTCTTTGGTACAGTAATACCCCTGTGCCGAGTCACTGCCCAATTACCCAAATTGTCCCCATATGCCTCCGCAGTCTGCCTGCTTGCACCCTGTTTATAAATCCTGGGTCTTGGCTCCCCCAAAGAACATGTGCTTCTGTTCAGCCAATCAGAACACTGCACCACAGCCAGGAAGCACTAATCTGCCCCCCGCTACCATAAAATGATCAGGGCTTTCATGCCAGCTTTGCAATCATATGCGCAAGCCCCCTCATTCTCTGCCCCACTTTCGCTCACATATACATAATGTCTCACGATTCATTTAGTCAACTCTGTGTTACTACTTTTCTTTTTGGCTCTCAGTTTTATTTACTATGAATGCCTTTTGCAATGATTCCTGACACCTGGTGCCCTCTCTAAAATGTGCTTGTTGAACCTTAATACTTTATTTCAATCATGTATCTCTTCTTCGCCAGGACCCTACTCTGGAGTTCATGAGGAAGTTTGCTATCGGCCTGGTGTCTGGGACCATCTCTTCCTGCGTGAACATTCCCTTCGACGTAGCCAAGAGTCGCATCCAAGGCCCCCAGCCCGTGCCCGGAGAGATCAAGTACCGCACCTGCTTCCAGACCATGACTCTGGTGTACCGGGAGGAGGGGTAAGTGAAAGCAGGGATAAATCATTTATCCTCAGTATATTAAAAATGGAAAGAAAATGGTTCCAAGAATTAATGAGGCACTCTGTTTGCCTTGTTAGCAATGAATAGTTGGTTATCTGCCAAAGTGGCTGTCAAAAAAGACAAATGTAGCAGCTGCAGCTACAAGTTAGCACGCTTGCTGCAGTGTGAGTTTCCTGCGGCAGCTACAGTGGAAGTGCATGAACGGCTTGATGCAAAGCTGTGATCCGAGGAAGCCAAAGGGTGACGTTACATTGCGGGCTGTATTCCCCACGTGTGTGATCATACATCTCTGCAGTCTGTCAGAAGTACAGTAAACGTTAACATATTTTCGAGCCTCAGAGAATGGCAGCTCTAAATGGAAGCTTCAAGAAAAAGATGTATGTTATGTTAGCAATTTCCCCAGGCTCTCCACTTTCCCCCACGCAGCTCCACTAGAGAAGGGCCAGCGAGATGTTTGTAGTTAGTGGACGCAGGAGCCTCGGGGGCTGCTGCAGGAACGGCACTGAAACGCTGTCGTCGCAGGGGTGCGTCGAGGGTGCCCCCTCCGCCACATCCAGTCCCCTGCTCTAACACAACACAGTCCCAGCTAATTAGTGGTCCCTATGGGAGACGTCGTTAAGCAGACCCTAACGAGCCGCGCGGCGCTCCACGGGTCAATCTAATCAGACAGAGGGCCAGGGAGGAAGTGGGTCGAGCCTTATTAACGCCATCAGTGGCGGGGGCAGGGAGCGGGACAGGGAGCACGAGGCGGAGGCAGCCAGCCACTGATCACCTTGAATGCATTAAGGGGCAGGTACTCGCCACTGCTGGCCGTTAGACCCCAAATATGTACCTGACGGGGTGAGAGACAGACAGACAGGCAGTCAGACAGGAAAGAGCTCACCCCCACTCTCAGCCTACACACACGGAAAGTATGGATAGAGAAGTGTTCTCTTGACGGAATTTACATGTTTGGATTTAACTGTGGTATTTTGTGTTTGCACATTATTAAAATCCTCTTTTTCCTACAGGTACCTGGCGCTTTACAAGGGGTTGGTGCCCAAGATAATGAGGCTTGGACCAGGTAACAATAAAAAGCTTTATATACTAACATAAACATTTCTTTATAATCACAAGTTGTCTTTTACAGCAGACGAAAAGAGTTCAACTAGACCTTCAAGTTTTAGATAGAATCATTTTTAGATTGGTCGACTGAAATGTATGGAGGTTTTTCAAAATCTCAGTTTATTAATATAGACAGAACCCCTGAGTCATGTTACTGTTAAAATACACTTTGAATGACTGAGTGCACTATTTCCCTCTCAGATGTCTTTGTTCTATCTATATTTAACTGTGTACTCAAATTACAAAAATGTAAAATCGATGTTTTGCGTACGTTTTCTTTATATTTATACAATTGAAAGGCAACATTGCGAGTTAGAACCACTGCCTAGCCAACTTGTATTTTAAAATGTACCCATCTTTTTATTTTGTATCTGTAATATTCCTTTGTGTTTCCCAGAATGTCCACACGTGACACTAAAACTCGGTTTCTATTGGTTGTGTAGCTCTCGCTGTTTATTCAGTAGCAGGGAAATAGGTGTTGATTCACTGTGGTTTCTCTTCTGTCGGGTTACAGGTGGAGCAGTGATGCTGCTGGTCTATGAATATGTGTCTGGATGGCTACAGAAGAACTGGTAACAAACCAAAAAACACAGAAAGAAACCAAAGAGAGTGCCTTATGGGATTGTACCTCATTGCCAATATTCTTAAATGACTCTAACGTCAGACCAAATTTTTTTTTTTGTTAGTCTGTTACATTGAATACACAATTTTGCAGAATAATACCAACTCTGCATTACAATATATTTTAAAATGAAGCTTTCTGAGTAAAAACGTAATCATCATCTAAGTTGCCTTCTCAGGAATTAAAAACAGCTGCAATACCAATATTGACATTTCAAGAGGATTTAGCAGTGAGTTTTAAAGGACCTGAACACATATTTTCTCAATCAATTTTCTACTATAAGTCATGGGATCCTACAATAATACAATACTTGAAATTAGGGCTGAACGATTAATCGATTTTAAATCGAAATCCCGATTTGAAATGGTGCAATTATCAATGCGCAAAGCCTGCGATTTTTTCTTCTTGTGTGTCAGTCATCCACACCAATCAGAAGTGCTGTGCTCCACATGTACCAGTCATTGTTAACCAATCAGAAGTGGCCCATGATAGAAGGTGATAGACAGATTGATCCAATCACCTGCCAAGTATTTTTGAAAGTGCCTGCCCTTTCCAAATGGCTTCCAATGGAGCTTTCCTAGATGGTTTGGTGAAACAAACCATCTGAGTCAGGTTAGTAATGCTCCATCACATGTTTTACAGGGTGAATCTTAAACTGAAGCTTGACTTTAAAGCAACCCAACAGAAGTTTCATGTAAGTTTAGTTCTTTCACTCGTAGCTCGGGCTGCGGGGGTGCTAGAGACGGGAGCACGTTGATACGACCTTCCTAGCCGGAGATATGGCCGCATTTTACAATAAACTTCCGTTGGCTCGCTTAAAAACAAATATCGCAAATCGAATCGCAATTAGATTATTTCCCCAAATCGTGCAGCCCTAGTTGAAATGCAACACAGATTTAGAACGGTTATTGATGTTTCACATGTATGTTGTGCTTTATGTCTGTCTATGTCTGTCACCTACACCTCATGAGCTTTTGAATGGTGTGAATGTTTGTTTTGGTGTAGTAAGTTAAAGTTACATTGCTTATTATAGAAAACTGGCTTTCAGTGGGCCTAATTTTAAGTTTCAAATGAAATACAACATGAAGAATGAATTGAAGGCAATTTACGAAATATAGTATAGATCTTCCTTTTATAGATGCACAGTACATGTTTTATGAATTATATGAAGAAACAGAGACTTACCGAGTTCACATGAGTCTGACTTCAAGATGTTCCTATACAATACACACTTTCTGTATTAACATCTCCATATACAACAATGTATACGTGATTCCAAATATATACTGTGTTCACGCCTATATTACTGAGCCTTACTGTATATCTCAAACAAACCACCAATAGTGCCTGATGATTCATGTAGGAATACTTTCTTATACTTTTCTATTATAGAGGCCTATTGCAGAACCTTTTTAATGAATGTATTGTTGCATGACTGATCTTTTATTTTCATTTCTTAAATTAGATTAGTATGAAAACTATTATTGGTAAGAAATTGTGTTCACTTTTTCTCCTGATGTGGAATGTTGGCATTTGTGAAAAAGTGACTTGAAAGATTTGGTTAAAAATAAATAAAGAATCAAATTAAACTTCCTGTCTGTGTGTTGTGTTTCTGTCTGTGTGTTTAGTACTTTTTCGTCCTGTCAGTTTTATGTTGTTCCGTGTTTGTCTCTCACTGGGAGCGTTCCAGCTTGGCATTGATATAAGTGTATCACTTTACCTCACTTTACCACCCTCCTCCTCCCCCTCTTCTCCCCTCCATCACAGCACTCAGTTGTTTGAGAAGCTGTCAGCTGCTGAAGTTGTATTAACCGACCGAGTGTCAGCCGGGGAGTCGCTGCCTGAGCGTAGCTTTAGTGCAAGCTAAAACAACAAGCTCAAGAAATGCAAATGTAACTGCAGGAATGGGGGGCGGGGGTTACCGCACACATTCTCTCACTTTGCCAGTCTATCTCTTACACAAATATGCACGAACAAAAACACACACACACACCTGCTGCACAGCCTTCAGGGTAGGCTCATCTTAACCTCATCTGGTAGCGGCTTACACTGAGCCACGTTGGCATTTGACAGTCATCATTAATGTGGGAGTCTCTCTCTGCCAGTATGGAGCGGCTCCCGGTTCTCTGCCCAGGGGCCCGTGGTGATAGACTAACAACTGCGGCTTGCAGACTGATTGAATTGTAAGCGCTTAACGTGTCCTTTCGGGTAAAGGAGGGCTGGATGTGTATGTTTGGTTCTGACCTGACAGCTTGCAACATGTGCCGCGTGTATTACCAGGTAGCTTAGCAACAGAGCCACCCCTCACCTGAATTCCCTGCACACACCGCGCCGATCAAAAATCTCCAGCAGCAAAGTCCCCCATCTCCTCATTTTCTTTACACCCTTTCCATGCGTGTTCCTCGTCTCCGCCGGTTACATTTCAATTGAGTGGCTCCACTTTGACGAGCCTGCAATTTAAACATGGTCGTACCTGTTTTTCCCGCTGTGGTTAATGATTGATATACATTAAAATGTCCAGGATAACGTGAACAGCAGTGATTCATGTCAGAGTGATTGGACATGGGACTCAGTGTGTGCATACCAAAGACACTGCTCCAGACATGTTGTGATTTTCCCAGCCCAGTCTTTTCTCTTTAAGAGGTTTTACTCACCTGTGTGCTCAGCGTTGCTGTTTTAAGTCATTAAGAAAACATTCTGGCTGTTGTCAGCTTCTTTTAGAAATGTCCATGGAGCAGAAACACACTCTCACCCTGCCCTCTGCTCTGTGTTACTCTGCAAATGGCTGTCTTGTTTCTGATTGCATGTGGAGAAGTAAAGATAACCATATGACACTGAAGTCAGACTCAACCTCATTAATTATAAACACGTGTCTGCATCTATTTTTAAAACCACGCCTTTTAGACCCTAGCCTCCATTAAAGCTGACCAACATTAGACTACAAGAGCAAGGATTATTAGACCTTCGAGAAGCTTTTCCTCCCGTCTAGAAAACACACTGTTCCTATTTTTTAAACACTGGTGTCAATTAAAACGACCACATTTTAATTTCGTTTGCATGACTCAGAGGAGGCTAACAAGACTGTGCTCAATTCTTGTAGCTTAGTTGAAAGGAAAAGTTTAGCCTTGTTGTGTGTAGGCTGAGGTAAAAACGAGCATGTAACAACTTTTTCATGCCACTCCGAGAGTTAACCATCATTTACTGTACATGATGGATGGTGCAGGGTGAATGGGTGGCTGCTACAGCGAGTGTGTGATCATCACGTCCCTGTGATGTGGTTCACGTATGGTCAAAGAAACACTACGATCCCTGAGCAACGGTCCGTGACCACTGGCTGCGGGGAAGAGTGCTTTCCAAGTCAAATCAGCTCCTGCTAAGGGAGGACTGTTGACACTGTCACATGCAGGGCTTGTTTACGCTGCTACACCCCCCCTCTGCAGCAGGTAGAGTTATGTAAAAAAGCAGGTGAGCAACATCAAGTTATTAATTTACAACTTCAAGCCCAGTTTGGTTTTCACTGCGGGACTAGACAGGGCTTGCTAGACACACTTATGATTTATTACACTGGCCCCCCTTAAAAGTATTTTTGCATCATTTTGCAGACATGTCATTTGTAAACCAGGCTGTGTGCTTTTCCTTTTGTAATTAACATGTTGGGTCGGCTCATGGGGAGCCCTGTTTGGGCCCTTTTTGTGGCGGCTGTAGGTTCGTGTTTGGGTCTCATGTCTTATGACCGAAGAGACCGCATTCGTGCTCTGAGTTCAGTGCCGAGTCTTCGATTCACAGATCTCAAAGTTGCAAGCATCAGCGATGTTCTAATTTATTGTTTTTCATGTGCGCCTGAATCCTTCTCAAATATAACTTTAAATTATAATGTTTGACGATAGACCTTGGCTTTAATTAAATATAGCTTTAAATTGTAATGTTTGACAATAGACCTTGGCTTTAATTAACAAAGGCTTCCCAAACGTCCTGATTTGTACAAAAAAAAAATCAAACAGCGAGATTAGATAATATGATCTCTCCATATATTTTATATTTTTATACCTCCATTTTCAACCCAAATATCTGCTTCAGACACTACATTTTTCGGAGACATTTTAAACAATATAATTGGTATATATTTACACGGTGTATATATAGATGTAGAAGTACTTAATATAATTTCTTTAAACCATGTACTTCTGTGGCATTGAGCAAATATCCAGGCATAAATGTTTATGAAAATAGAAAGGGCCATATGAAGTTATGAGGTGAGTTTATTTTAATGACTAAAGCTATGTGGTGACAAAGCCTGTGTGTGCCCAAAGCATTTCTGATGAACTCTCCTAGTGAGCCATGACGCTAGGTAATAGAATCACAGGCTTTGTATGAGCGTGCACATATATTATTTATGAAAAGCAGTTTCCTGCTTATGTAAAACAGGCCGGTACGCGACAATATTAGGAATTTACCTATAGTAAGCTACACTGACACTGGGAGGATCATTATATTTCATGTCTTCTCTTAGAATAAAAACTGTTGAGGCAAACTCCATGGAGACCAATAACAGCCAAACAATTTAATAAGATACATTCAATTTCCTTGTGCAACATTTGTCAATTGTTAATGCTCTAAACTCCAACATAAGACCAATGCCAATTTTGTCTAAACATGCGTGGAGATCCCCATGTTGTCTGTAAGGCGAATTGCACTTCATTCAACGTACCTTAATCTAATAAATAAGACTTCTCTCTGGAGCTCTCGCATAGGCTACATTTTTAGAGAAGTTGGAAAACAATGCTCCATAAGGCTTTTATCAAAACGTAACACAAAAAAGCATACAAACATATTTAAAAGAAAAAAACGATAGCAATTATTAAACACCCTGAAACACTAATGCAAAGTTTCCCCCTCTTCTTTGATTGCTTACTCATGAAGTTATACATTACCCCATTTTGCCCAAAGACATTTGCAGAAGTGTGCAGTAAAGAATCTGAGAGGAATTGTGTTGATGGATGGAGTAGCAGTCTTACATCAGTCCTTCAGTACACCTGTCTCTTCTCTCAGAAAACAAGTTTGTTAAAAAAAAATGAATGTTTGTTTATTCCTTGTGTGTCTTTGGTGTGACTGTGTGTCGCAGGGACAAGAAGGGGGCACAAAAATGGTTCCTGGGGCCGAGTCCTTCGTAGAAAGGAGGCATAGGGATCGCATGAAGCCGCATGGGACAGACTCGGAGTCTCCTGTCCTCGCCAGGTCTCACTCCCTCCCCCTCCCTCTCCCGCCACTTCACAGTGCCAAGGCCGGTGACTGGGTGGATGGCGTCACGGTGGGCCGTCGTGCCCTTGAAGGCCGAGAAGGCGGCGATGTCACAGTTGTGGGGAGATAGCGCACTGCCACTGCCCGGCTGCCATGTGGGACCGGTCACAAAGGCCGACGTGGTGGCGCTGTACCCCATGTAGGGTGACACTTGGGTG